CCCTAAATAGGTCGAACAGATGGGGTGACAGTCATGAACCCGTATCAAAAACAGAATCAGACTTGAAACACAGACCTACCCGAACCGAACGGACCGGAAAACCTGTAAGCTGAAAATGGGAATCGCTCTAGTATTTCTATGGGAGTTATGACCCGAAGTGCACAAAAATAGTGGAAGACAACAAGCACAAACTTTATGCCATACACTTTCAATACGCTCCCGCACAATGGCTTTACATGGGGGAGCACTGTGTAACATTCATCTAATGGGTATTCAACCTACACATGGTTTGGGCGGTCAGCCGATGTCCGAGACAGTGCTTTTGTCCTCCCGGATTGATCTTGTACCTATTCTCTAACACCAAGATTGGATGGTTTGGTTGGACTATTTGGGCATTATTCCCGATTTCATTTGAACGAAATATGGGGCAATAGAGGAATGTTGTTCCAAACTCGCATTACAACACATTCGGATGGTACTACGGGATAAAGGATCAGGAAGGAGTTCCTTGGCGAATTCGATCGTGTTTTGGGATGCGCCCCGCATTCGACTTCCATTCATAAGCGTAGTGACGTTTGACTGCGTATGTGTCCTATACATTGACTGTTGGTGGCCATTAAATGAAGAGGTTAGTGTTTCAGCCTCATGAGTGCTGTACCAACCAAACCACCCCGAAGGGATACAAGGCTCAGATTGGCAGGGCAAATGACTACCTGGGACTCGTTCCCCAGACCATGCGGGTGTGATAGTGCGCCACTTGCCATTACACTACCTCCGCTCGGTATTAGTGGGTAGGACGTTCAATGGTCAGAAGAATTCTAGTATTACTACGTAGCTGGGGTAAAAGCTATTTGGAAGGGTGTTATCACCCAATTTCCCCTCGTAACGTACGAGAAACGATCTCAATCACTGGCAAAACTTTGAAAGACCATTCATCGGGAAACTGGTTTTTCTGATGCAATAGCCGANTTCTAGTATTATTATTATTTTATTATTATTATTATCATTATTATTATTATTATTATTATTATTCTACTATTTGGTAAGGGTGTTATTACCCAATCTCCCTTCGTAACGTACGAGAAACGATCTCAATCACTGGCAAAACTTTGAAAGACCATTCATCGGGAAACTGGTTTTTCTGATGCAATAGCCGACGGTTTGATAAGTGTAAAACTCAACAGTTCGCGAACAAGGTAGAAAACTGAAACTGTCGGTGAATACATATAATTAAGACTAAGGCGTAAAACGATGATTGGAATCGTTTCGCTGATGAACCAGTTTAGGTGACGCATTCCTTGTCCATTAAGGAATGCCTACTTTCATAGAACTCTTTAGAAATCCTACTGAAATCGAAAGTGAACTTAAAAAGTTGGTAGGAAAAAAGTCGAAACAACAAATAGATAAATAAACAAACCGTGAAAAAGCATCGGCATGAGCCATCCTTTGAAACTCCAGGAGATGACATCGTACATGTCGGATCGTGATTCACCGATGGAGCGCCATCTTGGAATGGATTCAAAATTCGGCAATTGAATGTTGGTCCTAAATATTTTTTATAAAGACGGAAAAAGAAAAGCGGCTGTTTCAAAGGAGCGAGATTTGAAATCTACAGCGACGGTGACTTCCCCGTGGTTGGAAATTTCGGCAGTTGCACGATATACCATATCTTTAGAGGAAGTGAATAATTGTTAAAATGTAGATGGGAGAGGGGGGGGGGGGGGGGGGGNGATAGGGGACCACCTTTTCTGACACTAGTCATTAGAACGAGAGAATGAATGGAATTCAGCAAGATCCAAATGTCGAAATTGAAGTGAACCTACGATGCGGGCAATGTAGTGTTCAACGTGGTGGCATAACCAACAATCTGGAAGCCTAAATCGTGACGAGACCCGCATTGAGAATTACCGTACTAACGGGATGGATAAGGAGATCGTACTGATTGGAGCGAGGTGCTTCTAGTCGTAATTTAGCCACTTCTACAGCCCCGAACGTGATCTTTCAGCGATGCTTTTCTTTCAACTGAACCGTGAATATAAATTCTTACCATTACCCTCTTTAAATACAGTTTGATACTAATACTAGAGTTAAATAATCTTGAAATTCAGAGAATAAGACATATAATGTGGTGGGGAATGGTCCTGCCAGCTGTGAAATGATTTTGTCTTTCAGAAAAGTAATGAATCTGTTTGGAGGCAATTTTTGAGTGCTCACTCTGTAGTGCAGTTGTTAGTAACAAATAGTAAAATGCAAGTAGTAAAAAGAGCAAAGTAACAAATAGTGAAAAAGGTAATATGCTTCGCAGAAACTGCGCAACTTATGCTACTCAGTAGTCGAAAACAGGAACCTACACTTCTTCACAGCAACATGGAGTTATAAATAATCGGAATCAATTGCCAATTCTTCCAATTTTGTAAAGTAAGTAAGTAATTAAACTGAAAGTAAGATCAAATAGAAACCTTGCACGAACCTCTGTATTTTTCCGTTCCTTGCTGAATAATGACAGGCTTTGGTGCTACCGTGCTACCCTTGGGAGGACTCGGCGTTGATGCGCTGATGCTCAGAGAAGGAGTTGACGATGGCCTTTCAACGATGAAATGGGTTGGTTTGAGTGATGAACGCTTCGTTTCCGCTTTAACTCTGAATTGACGATGACCGTTACAAGGCCCTGTCAAGTTCTTTAACATAAAATATCGATTGAGGGATCAGCTCGCTGTTTATTCATAGGCTAACAGAAGTGCTACTATCCAGTACGGAAAAAGAAGCCAGTAGGCGAGAATTGAACCAACGGCTCTCTGTTAGCTGTACTTGCGTCTTGGCTCTTAATGAGTAAGACTATCTCCCATGTTTAGCTAAGTTCCTAGGGCAGGAGCGAGATTCTACTTTATCTAGTAAAGCACGAACCCTCATTAGGCTTCATGATAGATGACAGCCATGATGACAGCCTCAACTCCACCCACCATAAGAAGCCCGCCCACTGACCGTCTATTGACCGGGTGCGACAAAAATTGCAACAGAAAAGGCATTGGCTTTTGGCTTGTTCCGAATCGTTGTTTCGCTTGGGACGGGAAAATTCTAGATAGTTTCTCTAGGAGTTGAATTCCGATTCGCCATTCGAGCTGAACAAAGGAAGGGTCATCCATCACCCCTGCATTAACAACAAAGGCGTTGTAATACGTTGATTACATATAGCAATTAGGGTGAAACTGGTCACAAGTTCAAGCTCTGCAAAGACGATATAGACTTTGTAAAGTCCTCCAAACAGTATGTCGACAAGCACCAGGAACAGCATGACAGAGGAAAGAGGTAACTGATCGTTTGATGGAGGAAACCACCGTAATCCATGGTCGCACATAGTTTGCGAGATAACCAGGTTTCACAGGGGAGTCTACTGCTAAGGGGAGCAGGGGGCGAGCGGTTCTTAGTTCCAAGGAGGCAACCGTTAATCGGGGGAATTTGCATAGGTACTAGAAAGCTGCTCAAAATCATGCCATACTTGTTTCACGAACTATTTTTCGTGAATTTCATGGATGACCATCTTTTTGTAGTGAAGTTTTTTGAGTGCTATAAAAAAGTTACCCCTGCAACATGAATCTGACCTTGATTCAATGTGACGCAAATTTGCACCGTGAAGTGTGGGTGCTAATTTTGAATGATCACCCAGGATGGTGTCGCATGGAAGCAGATGACCCTTCCAATGTGTAAACCAAGAACTGAATTAGCAAACTCAATACCCCACGAGAAATCGGTTTACAAACTCCATTAGACTTCAAACGCCATGTTCACAATGATTTGACGCCGAGCTTTTTACGACACGCAGCGTTTGCAGCTTGGCGAGAGTTGGCGTAATGAAAAAGGAATCAATTGGTCCTAGTACCATTTTGATTGAAGTAGTGAAGGTAAATGTAGTAGTCCACAAGATCCATGGACGAGTTTTCAACAACTTTTTTACCTGAGTTACCGGCTTAAATTCACATAAAATCACAATTCATTTCGTTTTCCATATATGGCACAGCGAGGGCAGCCACCGATGGTTGGGAAAGGGGCAAAAGCACTACTACGCAGTATAGTTCTCCCCTTTTAATCTTGGTTTTCCTTTTTCTTTGATGTTTTCGCCATCATTTTCGTAAGTAGGCAACCCATTTGCCTGATTTTACCATCACACTGCCTCATTCTAAGCAACAATTGACTTATCACGTCTGGGAGGATATAAACACTGACTTGTACATCGGCTGGCCACCGCAAGTCATTGTATAAGCCACAGACGCAGTAATTACACCACTACTATTCCGAATGGAAGTCGAACGCGTGGCGCATCCCTCTGACAGGATTGATTAATGCCCCAAGACTTCATCCTCTATCTTTATTGACTTAACGCATCAAAGACAACCAAGAAGTACGGTGAAGCCGCCGTTGCAGTAAACCGAAACGGCAAATGTGACTTTTGCTCAAGCTTCCCACCTCATTGAGCTGTGCCCAGACTACTGATGTGACTGAACCTTGGCAAACTGGCTGAATCAAATGCAGCTGTTGGAAGATTCCGATGCCACTCAATGCTTTGCCACTTGGTAAAATGATTTTTAAGGCCACGAGATAGCATTATTCCAACCCGCTGAGCAATTTTTGGCTAGCTGCCTCACTCGGCGCCACACCTTTGTGGGCCATCTTTATTAGTTGTCTCGCTGTGCCGCATAGCTCCAATTTACCACCATTTTTGTAGATCGAAATACGTTCAAGCATGCAGTTTTAAGGAGCATTTTCTTTCTGATTTTGTCTCATGTTTCACCGCTACTCAAGCTTGTTCTGTTTGGGTTCCACTACCCTATCAAAGCACTGCTTTGTTCTGCTTAAGAGGACCAGTAATAGCCAGATGAAAATCGAAACAAAGAACAGGTTATTTCATTCTCTACTAGCTTATGGTCACATTTTCTCACACTTTCTACTTAACATTTTTCACTTTTCAGTTTGCATCGCATTTGAACTCGCTCTTTTCTTCACAACGCTTTTTTGGTTGTGTAAAGAAATGATGCGAATGGACTACCTCTTTTCATCGATGTGGTGAACAGCTGATTGACCATCTTTGAGGTAAGCAATGGTAGGTTTATTAGTGGTAGACGTCATAGTCGTTGTTGTGGTATCTTCAAGAATAACTCCTCCACGTCGCCAAATTCCTCCTGGTCGTGGTGAAACCGTTGTACCGATTCTCTGCTTTCGTACTCCCATGACTGTGGCGAACTTGAAAACGGGTTCTGGTTGTATAGGTAGGTGTTGTGGAAGGATTCGGCCAATTCGACTTCGACGCCTGAAGGAAGTTAGATTTAGCACAAAATTCGTCGCGATTTTTGAAAGTATTACTTGTAAAAACTCATACTAAAAAGAGTACGCTCCCTTCTCATCAAACACAGATCAACCCTATCAATACGTATCATACGGGTGGCTTAGAAAGGGAGAAAATCTGATCGGTTGGCAAGGAGAAGAGAAACTTTTGCATATCGGCATATCTCATTTGGTTAGAAGGCACCGTGCCAATCACAAACGAACTGACCGGGAACGGTCATGATTGGATAATTGCCTACGTCAGCCAATCAGATGCTTCCCCGACACCCACCCCAGAAAGATAGTACATACTGGGTTCTTACAGTTCAGAACTTCATAATCCTTAAAATTTGCACAAAAGCGATAATGCTGCTTACACCGTTGGTCGCTGTGTTGCTTCTGTTGTGGTTATCTGCGTAGTCGACGTTACTGTTGTGGGTGATGTTTTCTCCGTGGTAGCAACTGATGCAGCTGCTGTTGAAGTTGCTCCTTCTGTTGGTGAAGAGGCCGTTGTCAGTTTCTTCTTCAGTGGTGTGGGTTTCTTTGTAATTTTAGAGGACGATGGTAGCGGAACTGCAGTCGTGGTTTTAGCAGTGGTGGAGACAAATTTCGGGAACCCAGTCGGCGTCAATTTCTTTTTCGGTAGTACGGTGAACTTTGCGGTTTCAGAAGTAGGGGACGCCGTTGTTGGAGCTTCAGAAGTAGTTGGAGCGGTAACTTTGATCACGAGCTCTCCAGGTGTCGGCATCTTAGCCGCAGGCTCATTCAACTTCTTTACTTCCTTAACTTCAGCTCTTGACTGATGGTTAATAATGATTGGGGTGTTGGTATTGAATTTGCTGGATTTCATCATCACATCCGCTGCTCCTGGGGCTCCAATCAGTAGTTCCCTCAATCTTTTCACCTCGTCAGCTTGTAGCATAACTGGTTGTCTATCAATGCTAAAGTCACTTTCGGCAGATGGTGTCGGTGTAACCCGTCTTGCAAATGGTGTGCTCCTTGTCAGGTAAGGGAATGAATCCTGAATGGGTGCCGGTGTCGACCATGTATGAACACCCCTCGTGACGACTGGCACCTAAATTCAAACTTTAATAGTTGGTGATAATCATTGCCTTCATCGATACTAACACATAATTCTACTTTGTAATGATAGTAATGTATAAGCTGAAGAATGAGACAGCTCAAATAACGAGAAACCAGAGCTTTCAATGCGCTATGCGTAGATATGTTGCCCAAACTTCAATATCGGAGGATTCGTGAAAAGCTAATTGCCTCCTGCTTATAGGCCAGTGGGAAGAAGCGCTGCTATAGCCACTCCATACAGAGTTGAATTCTCGGATTCAGATGTACCGGGAAAGACAATATGGAGGATGCTAGCAAAGATGACTTCTATCGCTCCTCTNATCGAAGAATTCGTGAAAAGCCTAATCCTTTCGCTTCCGCACAAATAGGACAGTGGGAAGAAGCGCTGCTATAGCCACTCCATACAGGGTTGGATTCTCGGATTCAGATGTACCGGGAAAGACAATATGGAGGATGCTAGCAAAGATGACTTCTATCGCTCCTCTCCCGTTCCATCCCTACCGAAAATAGTAGTTACGGATGAGGGGTGCCCGTGTGCTGGTCCCGTCCGAGGCCAAAAATTTGCCCCTATTTCCCACTCTCGTGATACTTTTGCAACGCGTACTACCTCATTTAACAAGAATATCAAGCCAAAACAGGTGGCTATACTCGCAATTGCGATGCTAAATTTTCTTTATTAATTGAAAGAGCTCCCCGGATAGGTGAATGTTGTGAAAAAAATAAAAGAATGGGTCTATTCATGTTATATGAAATTATTGGTCAGCGTACTTACTCTACGTGCTGCCCTGACAGTAACAGTAAAGTAGTGAGCGGGAGCAAGTTCGAGATCAAGCCTTTTTTGCAATTATCCGGATTCAAAGAAAATTAGATGTCTTGTAATTTTATCGGTACTCCACGAAATACTGTAATCGGAGCCACAAATAAGGCCCCCAGGGAAATTGGGGTAATGGTTATTCGGAACGGAATTAGCTGACCTTCAAGAACAAAGTGGCCAATAAAGATCGGTCGTTACAGTTCTGGAACACTACTAGTCATAATGCAATTTCATGAAGCGCATTCACATGTGACAATGAAATGACTTTAGGGCAGTAATGAGTAGTTGGTAAAGAAGTAGTAAAGTTAAAGGACAACTTACTCCAGTAACACCTTGATTCTCGCCACGTTTAAAAACGTCGAAAGCTGGTAGAAATCCAACATGTTCGTCGTATGCGTCGTTCTTATTAGCTTCGTGTCTCAGATCGTCGGTGAAATCATAATCGAAAGATCGCGGATTCGTCTTCACTGTTTCATCAAAGACTTCCGTATCTGCAAATTTTAGGAATAGTTCCCTGAGTACAATAGGATCGGAAAGAGTGATTGGGAACCTTACACTTACTGGTTTCCTTTCAATTTTTTATATTGGCATGTAATTTATGCACGGTGTGACCCCATCCTGGATGATTTGTGGTAGAATGTGTTTTCGCGGAACTGGAGCAGTGCCAAGACTTCTTTACACTCTACTTCTCAACTATTGACCTTAGAGAAACGGATTCGGGTCGAATAGAAGTTCCCATTCACCTTTTCCCCCAGTCCTAGTGAGTATTCGGTATTACTAGTAAATTCAATCGTTACTTTTTGTTACGTTGTTTCTCAGAGCTACAAAATTTTTAATGACCCCGAATTACAACCTAGTAATTACAATACTATCTTAATCCTCCCAATGGCAATTATCAGTTAGATCAACTCGATCAATGTTGTAACCCTCAAGCTCGTTACCTGGGATTATTAATCCGTTACCAGGGTCAATCAAACTACACTATCTCTACATTATTTGTATACAATCAACAAAGTTTAGTAGCTTACCTAAGTTCTACTAATACTGAGTTTTACTGATAAAGTTATGAATGAAATTCAAAAAAATTGTAGTGATTAGATATTTCTGTGCTCAGCCAAGATCCTATTTTCACTTACTTCCTTTTTTGACCATGAAATCCTTTCTCTCAACCTTTTGCTTCGACAATACCGATGGCAGTAAAACTAGTAATACCAGGAATGTGCGCATTCTGTAACGACCGTTTTAGAGTTTAATACCTTCATAAATGCAAAATTCTTTCGCGGAGAAGTTAATTACATTGCTGTCAGTTATTAGGAGTATAGTGACGTCATAACAATGAGACAACAGTTTTGTTTCCGAAAAAAATCGAGTAATGCAGACCAAACTACATTGTTTTCGAAACGAACAGAAAAACCAATGTAAATAGGATTCCATTCTTTCATCTTTCGAAGAGAGCGTTTACTAACCAAGGGTCAAACTAGTAAGGATATTGTAAGTCAGTTATTACTTGAGGAAGATAATCCTTTTAGGACTTGGTGTTCTTGACTTTAGCTCACAACTCGTCCTTCCCATCAGAATTCCTACGAAGGAGTGGGGTTAAGGGGTTAGAGGCCTCCATTACAGGTCGGTTCAGGACCACCTTTCTCAAACAACTACGTCCAGAATATCAAGGAATCGAAAGCAGCAGTAAACTTACTTTAAGCAGTACTGAATTGGTGGAATAGTAACGTAACCCTCGGGTTCATCCGATGGAACCTTTAGAGCATTGCTGAATACGAGCTCCAAACAACAACTCCGTTACTTTTATAATGATATTTATTGGGAAACCTTGTAAAATGCAGCTTATCTGCCCCCATTCGGGGTCACTGAGGGCTTGTTGTGCCCATTATGTAGAGCCAATGTCTATATCTGATGACGGGATATTGCGAAAACTAGGGCTAAGTGTTTCTGTGTACATTACATGTATAGAGTGGAGACATTGTACCAATCTGTACCAGTAAGTAAGCTCTGAAGAGAGGAATCAACACCAAAGAAACGAACACGACTCGGAAATAAACGAGATTGAATCTCACAACGAGTAGCATTGGAAGAGGTTGTAGAATTCAAGGCTAACAGGAGTTCTCATTGAATTCAAAACAATGGCTGAGGTTTACTAAGCCGTTCCAAATCACAAAATTCAATTACTAACTAGTAAGCAACTTGCAGAAATTTTTTTGGCAAGTCGCAACATTCTGCAATGGTAAGAACTTCAGAGCGACACTGAGAAATGAAACATTCGGTTGAAATGAATGTGAACTTCGAATTGTTGAAAAAAGAACCAAAAAAACAAAATCTAGCTCCCTACTGGAACGAAACTTCAAAAAAAAAAGTAGTTGCTACTTGCAACGGCGACATACAGTATAGTACTAGTTCCAGATCATTACATACTGTATTCAGAAGTTCTCAAAGCACCCCGTAAGAGCTGAGAACGTTCACCGAACCGCAATGATCAAATGAATGTCATGTCGGCATTGACGTACACCTTATATAAACCGTCGGAAGCCCGTAACTATCATGATAATCACTAGGTATTACAACAAGTTCGAGGGGGATAGCCGCAACAACGGTGATGCCGACGAGGGAGGAGGAGCCTAGGCAAGAGCGATCATCATAAGATGATAGTAAAGGTGATAGCGAGAGTGTTATAGTGATATGTAACAGCTTATCAGGTTTATTGTAATTCAACGTTCCGCCACCAGCAGCAATGTGACGTGACCTTGCCGACCTTCCCAAAGGGAACACTAACGATTCTGGTGTCCCCCCACCCCCCTACCCACCCTTACCTCTCACTTAGACGAATACCATAACGTCCGCCGCCGTTGTCCTTGACTGGTACAGTTGCCATAGCGAACTCGAACTCGAAATCATTGTCTCGAGTGAACGTTCACCCCCCATACGTTGCAACGGCATTCGGTCATAAAAGATACGAACATAGCGTTGAAATGTCGTCTACTGCAACGAAACCCAGTAAACTGCCTTTGTTCTAGGCAGTCATTTGAAAGGTATGTTGAAGCAATTCTATGGGTATATTACCTTGAAATACCAAAGTTGCACATCTTTACAAAACAGTTACTCCTTGAACGATCACCCAACAAAAGCCGAATTAAGTATTTCCCATGAGAAAAACCGAAAACCCGAAAAGTTCTCAAGCGATCAAAAGTCTGTGCTACTCGAATGAAGCGGAGAATAAAGTCCTGGGGCGGTGATCAATTCCGTCAGAGGGATGCTCCACGCTTTCGACTTTCATTCAAAATTGTGGTGACGTATTGAATGCGTATGTGGCCTACAATGACTTGCAGTGGCCAGCCAATGTAAAAGTTAGTGCTTTTATCCTCCTAGACGAGTCCAGTACCCATTGGGCGACCTAGATTGATGGGAGCTCTGGTTGGCATGAACGTACACCTGTGCGTGATTCAAACCCGTAACCATGCGTGTGTGAAGTCCGCTACTTGCCACTACACCAACTCGCGCTGCTCAGAAATTCGAAGTTATGTTCGCATTTCGAATACTTGTAATTGTTCTTGCTGTAACTCTTTCTTCGAAGGAAAAAGGAATAAATCATGATATCATTACTCACATTATAATAAAGTAAAGTACAGAGGATATAGTCTTTGGGCGGTAACTAATCCCGTCTAAAGGATGCGTCCCGCACTCGACTTCCATTCGGAATTTCAGCGGCGCATTGAATGCGTTTGTGGCTTATACAATGACTTGCGGTGGCCAGCCGATGTACAAATCAGTGCTTTTATCCTCCAAGACGGACCTGGTAATAATTAAACGATCTCGGAGGGATGGAAGGCTGCTTGGCCTGGGCGGATCTCGACCCGCTGAACCCCTGACTATGCGTGATAGTGCTGCACTTGCTACTCCATTGCCTCCTACCTCACTTTTGAAATACAAAAAAAAAAACTGGAAAATGCTCTTAAACAGACTTATTTAGTCATGGGAATATTCCGAAGGTCATATCACAAAGTTAGGTAGGAGCCATATGAATAATTGGGAACACTGGAAAGCGAGTAATAAGTTAGACTTTTCAGACCAGTTGTAAGGACGATTATAAGCATTGAAATCAAGAAAAAGGGAAATGTCTTGAAAATGTGTGTACATATTCACGAGTATATAAAATCTGAAAGGATTCAGACCATTATAAACTGAATGAACTCGCCTATGCTTTACTATTTTTACTCATTTTATCGTGCTTGGGTGAGCCATTTAACATAGAAAAATAGAATGGAATAGTACATGATGTGGGTCGACAAAAAAAGAGTAATGGAAGTAGGAGGAAAGAATTGAAGGCCACTATATCCAAACTTTGGAATGGTCCTATACATAAGCAATCTTTAAAAATAGTGAACTTAGAGGTCCTTTTCCTTGAAAGCTACAGTAGAGGGGTTCTGCACCCCTGGATGAAAAGTGAAAAGGCGCCTCTCATTATGGGGAATTTCGACATTTTGACATCCCCCGAATCCGTTCGAAACCGTAAGCCATTAGGCCAAGGGTATAATATCTCTTAGAGTGTATCATTCCTTACATTCCGCGGACCACACAAACTACAAAGTATAATACAATACTAGTTTTCCATGGGACTTTTGGCTCCTAGCGAAAAATGTAAAGTGTAAGAGACAAAATGTAACAGCGAAAAGAGACAAACGGGAAAACAAGCACCACGAGAATAACTGAGCTAGGATAACTTCCTTCCGTGAGTTTTTCGAGCACAGTATTCAAATACATTCTCACGGACCGGATCCTCCCTTTGCCAACTAAGCTACTCCCTCAGGGTCAGACGATTCCCATCATTTCGCTTGTGAACAGGCTTAACATGGACTAAACACAACATTCTAAGAAGCTTAAGCTTTTTCGTGCAATTTCGCTTCACTTCGATCTGTACTGCGAAAACAAATACTTTCAAAAAAGGTAATGAATTCAATCACCAACTATGGAGAAGCGCACAGTCAAAGGCATCTATGTATACATCTTCCACAGCTGCTTCTTGAGTCATACCAAAAAGTCTGTTTCACAGTAAAAAGGCAATGGGATCTGTTGGTAAACTTCTCTTGACTTGATGTATTGTTAACTGCTCATAATTCGCAGCAGTGCCCGGATAGCACGAGTATAGGTTCGAGTCTCGTCCGAAGCCAAAATTTTGTCCATAACTCGCCAACGTTGTGGGATTTGGTTTACGTTAGCTAGCATTGAATCTTGAAAAGTGGAGAAGTAGCTCGTTCTAATTATCACGCCATCAAAAGCCTGAAGTTATCGTGGCAGTTAGATTTTGAAGCAAACTTCTTCGGATTCCGAGTAAAAGCGGATATTTTGGTGTTAGATGGAACTTCACTTACTCTTGCTAGTCGCCCACACCCAACCCAAAAGGTTCCCTAGCTGGTTCAGGAGCATTTGGAAAGTTTCACTCACTGTTCATGTATTTGAAATCATTTTGTTAGCGATCCTGTCAGAAATCGTGGGAACACTACTATGACAGTAAAAGTTAAACGAAGTTATCACAAAAAACGCCCAACACATACCAAGTTTCGCTTTGCGTATTACCTCGGGAATTATTTCACTGAGAGTTCTCAAGAACGAACTTAAAAACAAAACTTTTCTTGAAACTTGAAAAGTGTTCAACAGTTTTGAATAATCCTATTCTTTGAACTAGTTTCAAGTCCTTCATGAAAATAATTTCTTCGACAATAATCCGATTCTGGACGATTTTCCTCTGAATTTTCGAATTCCCTAGGTATTCCGGTACTTGGAATTTTTTCAAGTGGAAGGCAATGGGATGTGAAACAGAGGCCACTTTTCACTTCGTCCCTTTTCGATTTGAATGCAATTAGGGGACAAGTGTAAGAACAATGCGTACAACTAGTTGGCAGATGGAATTGCTCGAGTATTGGACTTGTCGAGAGTAGGAGAAACAAAGCCAGATACAGAGAAAGAGGAAGAGAAACTTCTTAGTCCCATAAGTTTGGCGAGTTATGGGCAGAACTTCGCCTCGGAGGGGCTCGAACCCCCACTCAGCTTATCCGGACAGCACTGGTTCAAGCAGCGCCCGAGGCAGGACTTTTTTGTCCGTAACTCGCCATAAACCCTGAAAGTAGCCTCTTGAAGTGCCGTTGGAGGGCGATATTTTGTGGAGACCGAATTTAAGAATTGAGATATCATCAGGTTGAGTAAAGTGAATGAGATTCCCGGAAAATACGTGGGAACAATCAAGCAAAGGGGCAGAGGCGTTGTTCTGCTTTGGGCGATTTCAAGCCACGAATCGCTTCACCGGACGGACACGTTTAGCATCAGCAATAACCAGTCAGAGTAATCCTAGCACGAAAACTAATGACTGCGACTTTACAAGATTACAAACAGTAATCAATTTGATCAACGTTATCGCCTTGAAGGGCCGGCCTTCACTGAGAACTTTGACAAATTTATTATTACAACATGATATTAGCAGTAACATTGGCAGTAACACAGCAGTAATAGGGAATCAAGAGCCGTAGATGAATTGCGAAATATTCGGTTTGATATTGTATTCGATACTGTAAAGTCATGCTCACTGAAAGCCCAAAAATATCAAGTAAAATGAAATTTCAAGCGATTACCGATTCTAACAGAGGATAAAGGTGAGTGATAATGAGAAATACTGATAAATACGATGAAAAGATCATATTCGTTTAATAAAAACAGTTTTTACGAGAATAATTAGGACAATTTGGAAAAAATTATCACATCAGCGGTAACACATATGATCGAGGATGATAATAACGGAAATCAAAATCTCGTTCAGCAACGCCATATTCCCCGTTCCATGTCTATCATATCTGAAAACACGTTTTTGCGTTCTTGAACTGGACTGTTCAGTTAGGAAAATTGATATTCTGATGGGTTTTCAGGTCCGCTCATAACTAGGATCAATTACGTGAGTTAAGCTCAGGGTGGGTAGCATCACTTGGGGGTTTAGCACTGCTTAAAAATCAAAGGCTTTTATAGGGAGGAGCTAATTATTTATGATAATACAGTCCAAATCGAAACTGTAACGGATACTTCACTGTTTTTACGGTGATTCATTGCTGTTTCGCTCTTTTTACGGTGATTCATTGACTTTCGCGATTCCATTTTTCTTAATCGGATCGCAAGCTTCCTGGAACGTTGGGGATTGCCGAATTGCAATATTTGGGATACAAGCCTGTCAAAAACCAGTATTCCCGCCGCTTCCAAAATTATTTTTGAGACCTCAGAGGTTTGATTTTCTTTGTAGATCCGATTTTCTTTATCTCCACTTCCCGTAAAGAAGTTTTAACGTTACGCTTGGGCCTCAATAAGCAAAGAATGGAACGAGGTGGTCAGTCAACTTTACAACATCCTCTCGCATCACAACCTATAAAGAGGTATCATTATGTGAGACTCAACTGTGTCCCTTCTAAGGGGAACTGTTGTGTCCAGTTTCCTTTCTTTCAATGGTGCTTATATAAATTATATAAAGAACTACTACAAAGTCGATGGCGATGTTGGTAGGCCT